AGAGAGAGAGAGAGAGAGAGAGAGAGAGAGAGAGAGAGAGAGAGAGAGAGATATCAGTTGTATGGGGGTGGGGATGTTTTGGATTTTGTATGTGTGTATGTGTAGGGGAGTTTTTTCTCTCCCTCAGCTTGGTTTATTATTTCATTAAAGCCTTGTGAGAATGGGCATAGCATAAGACATCGCAATGCATTAGTTTGCTCCAGAATGTTCAAAAATGTCATACTTTGCTGTTTTCTCTTGGCGACTCCGAATCTATCTGGAGCAAACTTGACCTCGTCCCGTTTCCTTGGTCTGAATTCTTCATAGTTTCTTTCTCGCTCTGTGACTGGTCACTGCTTTGATTTTCCTTTTCTAAAAGCGAGCCATCTTCCTCTAAAGGTATTTCTGTGGCTTCTGGAGAGTCACCGTCCCCTTTTGCCCAGGGCTGGACAACCCCTGAAGCAAACAGGCTGTAAAATATACAGCCAAAGGTCACAACCCCGGCCGACATAAGGAAGACGATCTGCCATGTCTCTCGAGCTGGATTCTGGAAAGCGAGGCAAAGGGTATAACTTTGAGTATAACATATATTCAAGACTGAACCCATTAAGGACAAATTAATACATAGGCCTACATAACCCCCCCCCAGAGAAGAATAGAAAATTAGATGAAGCCTTGACGTCGTAAAATCCATCAATGGACAGGAATAGTTGTCAGCGGATGAAAATGTAAATCAACAGTACGGTTCGTAAAGACAGTTTTCAAAAACTGAGGATTCGATTGTTGTTCCTTAGAAAGACATCCGGGGCTGTAATATGGAGCGAGAGCTAAGGGCGCCCAGATTTTCTTGGTGAGAATTGTCCAGGATCCTGATAAAGGAAGAACGCTTGTTGGCGGTGTGTGTACCATACTAGAACAAAGACATAAAGAAGTAAAGAAGTAGTGGGAAGACACTGAGCTGAAATAAATCCCAGTCAGGTTTTTGGAGGTTTCACTTTATTTTGTTGGTTTTGTTTTTTTGGGGTTTTTTCGGAGGGGGAAACAATAGATTTTGGGTTACCCTTCGTGTCAGCCATAACTCCAAAATCTATGGTTGTAAAGCTTGTTACCAGAAGTTCTACATCAGTTTTGCCTGAATATTGCCTGATCGGTAACATATCGTCATCCATTGTGTTGAGACAGCACATATATGAGTGTCTGCTTATATATAAGCATTACTCTAAAGAACGCATGTGCTCATTCATGCACTCCTCGTATGTTTTGTGATAAGTTTAAGGCATTATAAAGCGACTAGATCTGTTCTATGCGAGTGTGGGCAATTCCGAAATGATCTGCATTTTATGGTTATTATTATTATTGATTGATGCTGCACATTGTAACCAGTGGAAGACAGTCATAGATAAGTTGAGGTCTACAACTTACCGCTCCAGTGATGAAGCCCACAAGAGGCGGGGTGATGAAGCCATTGAAGGCCCCAAGCGTGTTGTTGAGGGCGACAATAAACCCTGCGTACGGGGGCGCTATGTCAAGAGGGTTCACGTAATACCCACACTTCTGGACGCCAATCGAAGACAAGCAAATGATGAGCAAAACGACTGCTATGATTGGTTGACTGCAATCCACAAAGCCAATTGCGATAAGCGAAATGATGCAAGAAACTTTTCCTGGGGTGAAAAAAAACAGAGAAAAAGAATGAAGAGAGATATTGTGCGAAATGCGTTAAATGCCGCTTACCCATAAGAAACTCAGAGTATTTTTTTGGTTTTTGTTTCGTTTTTGTTTGTTTGTTTTAAGTTACGTTAATGTACAGATCACTGTATCTGACCTATAATATTATGCATAAGCATAACCTTGAATTACAACAGTCTTTGTACAGAGAAAGAAAGGAGTAAACCTCTTAATTAAAGCTTTCGAAATAACCACACTGGCATTATGATATTGTGTAATGACTCTTTACCTATTGTTCATTTACCTTGCTCAAAACATGTCAAAGGAATGCAGGTAAATAATTTCTTTCTTTTTTTTAAGTCCATAATTTACAGCGAATTTATAGAAAAATAAATAATTGTTTATAAAGGATCATATAAATAAAAACAATTGTCTCGTATTTCAAAATGTCATCTTTTTAGTTATTGAAAATGATTTACGATTTTATATATTTTGAGAAGACAAATAGCAGTTTCGTAGGTTTCTGAGGTCAGTGTTGATTTTGAAGACGTCGTAAAATACCAAAATGAAACTGAATGAAACAACCTCAATACATACCAAGACCATCAATGAACTTTCTGACAGTGGCAACGGATATTGATGTTCTTTTAATGATAAAGTCAGCTGTTCCGCCAGTGATGGTTTGTAGAACAAACTGCACAATGTAGGGCAAGGCAGCTATAAGTCCATTCTGTGGTTAAAAATAAACAACAATAATTGGATTCACATATATAAGACAAAATAATCTATTCAGTAATGCTCTTAACAATACAAAGTCACGTGTCGCTTATGTTCTCAAATGGTGTCAAAGCATGGGAAGTGAGTATCCTTCAGAAAAATACCAATTACCATACATCACCTATGGTTCTATAGCTGAAAGCTTTTGACTCCTCCTTTATAAAAATGCTTTGTCGAGTTAGTGCTGTAACGTGTTTTATGGGATATAGTTATAGCTCTTTCGTTTTCTTCTCTGGCGAGTTCAATAATGAAATTTTAGAAGATAAAAGATTAGTTTGCAGTACTATGAAGACTTATTTTTATTCAACAAGATTACGCTTTTAACTAGTAACGTACATGAGCCTGATCGTGATCAGCAAAATTGTGTCAGAGGGTTCTGTTTCTAGGTAGATCCGTCAACTGTTCTGCCACCCAAAAATTATTAGCTTGCCCCAGAAAATTTTCTTCTTTTTTCCTCACCTCCATC